ATAGAGAACAGCAATTGCAGTATATAACTCCACAGCACAGGCTACGGAGGAATTGATCAAGAGTCTCCATCGCATCCGGTCTGGTGTACCACACTGGAGGAGCTGGCATTTAAGCCCAGTACACCCTGAAGGTTTGGGAAGCAAGGAGAAGCATTGGTTCAGTGGAGGTGTCACACCTCAGCACCCCAAAGCTGAAGTTTTTGTAGGCCCGCAGTCCACACAGTTCTTTGTAATTGTTCCTCAATATGTCTGTTGCCAAGTGAAACCAGATTCAGACCTTTAGAAGGTAATTTGAAAAAAAAGATCTGAAAACATTGACTCCTGTATCCCGTAAAGAAAATACTAAACCAGAGAGAAAAAGTATCCAGAAATCCAACAAAATGCTGGGCTTCCCCATGAAAAATACTACTGAGATGCAAAGAAATAATACAGGTATAATTATTTGAGTGCACTGAGTGTCGGACACACCAACCTAGCCCACAAACCCAAGTTCACTGAGGATAAGAACCATGCCATACTCATCTCTTCCTCCTGCCTGGCACAGCGCTGATGGGGAAAATACCACAGCTGTATTGAATGCATGGGTGGATGTGTCATTATCTTTTGTAACATAAGGAATGACAAATTGAGTTAACAAATAGAAGTGCAAGCAATTTCCTTCGAAGGTGGGAAGAAAAGCCAATTTATCCAGACAGGGCAGGATGCAGGCTTGGGCGTGGTTTCCCTGAGGAGAGAGCCTTTGGGTGTGGTCATTTCATTTACTTAATCAGAGCTCTGCTTATTGGCCACTTACTATGTGTTAGCACCAATATCAGTGTTTTGCATATGTCGGGCCTAATCCATGAGGTGGATATTTCCTCCATTTCCTGGAAAAAGCAACATGTTCAGACAGGTTCCACAAACCCCAAGTGTAAGTGTTGGGGAGGAGATTCAAACCCAGTTCTCTTACTATGATGTCCTTTGGCCGAAGTAGCTTGCCTCCTTCATTCACACAGATTTACTTAGATGGTGTTACTAAACTTGAAGGATGCTTAAGAAGCATGGAAAAATCTTAACATAGAGGAAGATTCTGAAGTGGGTAAATCCTAGCATCCCAACCCTTGGCCAGGCTCCGGTTCTCCTCTGCTCGATGTTTTATTTCTTCAATGAGCTGAAATTGGGGCTAGCATAGTGGTGCCTCTCAGGGCTCCAGTGCCTCTCATTTCTGAAAATGCCTCTGGCTTACAGACACACCCCCACAAAATAGCATGATTAGAGGAGCAAAGTCCCCAAACTGACGGCCAGCACTTAGTGGCTCTTGGGAGAGTTGCTACATCTCCTTGTGCTTCAGTTTCCTCATCTGTAAAAAGTAGCACAGTGGTAGTACTTGCTTCCCAGAGCTATTGAGATAATTAAGTGAGCTAATGTGTATAAAGTACTCAGAGGACAGTTGGGTACATTCTAGGCAGTATATACAGATTAGCTATGGTCACTGCTAATGACCCTCGGCAGTGGGTAACCGGGAGACTGCTGAAGCCTGGTGCTGTTACAAAAAGAGCTGTGGACAGACTTTGGGCAGACCTGGCATCTAGTGCAGCTTTACCAGCAGTTTCTGTATGTGCAATGTTTCCTGGTAGTACAGACGTGGCGGCTAAATAGTAGAAAATTATGGTCTCGTAGCCTGGCTCTGAAGGCTGGGACTGCGAGGGCAGGGTGCCGGCAGGGTTGGCTTCTGCTGAGGCCTCTCTCCTTGGCTTGCAGGTGTTGTTCTCCTCTGGGTGTTCTCCCAGGGTCTCCTGCTCTACATGTGTCTTTGTATAAGGACCACAGTTAGTATGGATGAGAGCCCACCCTGGCCTTAATTAAAATATTGTATTTTTAAGGACTCTTATTTCCAATACACTCACAGACTGCAGTACTGGGGTTTAGGATTTTAACATTAATTTCAGACTTGTGGGAAGTTTGGCCATTCATGCTGATTCTGGGCAAATCATTTCTCCTCCCTGAGTTTCTTCATTTTCAGAATAGAGGTGAAAGTGAAAGTTGAAAGCACTAAGCTCTGTGGGAATCAAAGCTGAGGGCAGTGTGACCTAGGCAGGCGCAGTGATCGGAAGGGTAATGAAGTCTAAAGGGAAGAACAAACAAGTTGTGGTGGTCACATGACATTCTGTGAGATACGGGTGAGACGCCCACTTCCAGTGGCTGGCACTAAAGGAGTAACTTCTACGGTGTCTGAGAAAATGCTTTTCAGGGTAAGCAGTCCCCTCTGCTCCTGGACGCTGGGTGCTGTGCCACGCTGGATTACGACCGTGTGAGAATGTGTCTACTTCCCCACATTAGGGTTAGGTCTAGACATCCCCCAAGAGCCTCATGTGTCCTGAGGTGCAGTGTTTGGAAGGTGATCGGGCCATAGCGGTGCTGTAGCTGACGGGCTGTTAGGAGGTAAGACCTGATTCGAGATGGGGTGCTGGGGTCTTGGTGTAGAGGAGCCACTCCCTCCAGTCCCCGGCTGGCTCTCCCCTTTGTTTTCTACTTTCTGACCATGTGACTTAAGCGGCTCTCTTCTGTGCTGGGCTCTTCACCTTTGCTCTTTCTGTCTTGGAGTCAGCCAGTCGTGGACTGAAAGTTCTGCTGTTAGGAGCTGAAGCGAGCCTCTCCCCTTTAAGTGAGGGCATCTGGTTTTATGTCTCCGTGACAAGGAAAGTGAAGAAGAAGCCTCTAAAGAAGTTAAATTCAGGGGCTGGGGAGATGGCTCAGTAGAATAGGCACTTTCCTGGCAAGTGCAAGAGCCTGAGTTCAATCCCCGGCTCCGCAAAAAAAAAAAAAAAAAGTTAAATTCAGGGCCCAGGGAGATACCTCAGTAGAATAAGTACTTGCCTGGCAAGTGCAGGGTCCTCAGTTCAATCCCCAGTACCACCAAAAAAAAAAAGTTAAATTCATTGTGGTGGGGAAAATGGTTTCTTTCTTTCCCTCCCTTTTTCCACTGAGAAGAGAACCCCCCCCCCCATAGTGGGTTCAATGAATCTGACAACCTCAGTACCGCCCACTGTGAGCAGAGCGCTGAGTCCCGGAGCCAGGCTGAACCTTCAGGGTGCCACCTGCCTTTGTGCAGAGGAAGAAGAGGTGGCAAAGCAGGGTCAGCCAAAGTCCTTTCACCTAGTTAGACCTGTGGGTGCTGGAAGAGATATTTATTTATTTATTTATAGACAGGGTCTCACTATGTAGTTCAGACTGGACTTGAACTCATTTTGTAGCCCAGGTTTGTCTTTTTTTTTTTTTTTTTTTTCAGAACCGGGGATTGAACTCAGGCCCTTGAGCTTGCCAGGGAAGTGCTTATTCCACTGAGCCATCTCCCCGGCCCCCCAGGTTTGTCTTGAATTCACAGTAATCCTGCTTCAGCCTCCTGAGTGCTGGGATTGTTGACACATACCACTATGCCCAGTCCAGACACATTTCTTTTCAAATTAGGAGCTCAAAGAGAATAAGCTCGGTGCTATAGTGTATTTATTTGACAAGCAGGACCTAAATCTCAGTGAGAGTTAGGAGGATCCAGTCATGAGAACACACACGTCTCTCGGTGTTTTCAACAGAGGGAATTTAACATAGGGAAGGGGTTACACAGTGTTGGAGATCAAAAGAGGGACTTTGGGGGCCGGGGAGATGGCTCAGTGGAATAAGTGCTTCCCTGGAAAGCACAAGGGCCTGAGTCCAATCCCTGGTTCCGCAAAAAAAAAAAAAAAAAAAAAAGAGGAACTTTGATTGATCAAGAGCTCAGTAATTGCTAGGAGAAATCACTGTCTGTTTGGGGTAGCAAAAGGGTAGAAGTAGGGTTCCCCTGATCCACAAATTGGGATAAAGGGAAGCCTGGCCTGGTGTTTTGAGCCATAGAGGTTTTTCTTTTCTTTTTTCTTTTTTAAAGTAATTTTTTTTTATAACTTTATTTATTTATTTATTTAGTGTGTGTGTGGCCAGTTCAGCCCACCAGGGGGCGGGGCTGGCTGGCATGTGGTGCTGGGGATTGAACCGTGGTCTCTGCTTTTGCTTAGCTTAGCTTGTTCTAAGGAGGTGCTTTAGACCACTGAGCCATCTCACCAGCCCCGGTTTTTCTTTTCTTGATGATGATGATAATGATGTTTTTAATCTTTTACTCATTTATTTATTTGGTATAGGGTATTGCTATGCAGCTCAGACTCATAGTGATCCTCCTGTCTCAGCCTCCCCCAGCACTGGGATTGTGTGTACCGCCACATGTGCCACAATGCCCTATTTCAGGGCCAGAGTTCGGGGACCCGCACAGCGTGTGGTACCAGGGATTGAATCTGG